GTTACCATTATTGCCGCCGTAGCCGCTCGTGGGGTTAAGAGTTGCAGAAGCTGGCACATTGGGGTTGCGTTCCATCGACGGTGGCATCGGCATGTGCGCACCAGTACCTATCTTCTTGCTGTCCTGCTTGCCACGCCCTCCCTTTTTCACACCGTGGTCGCTGTTGCCGTAGCTACTGCGTTCACCACCCGTGGCGCCGTTATTGCCATACGTGTCGTGGACAACACGATCGTTCTGGCTGTAGCCGCTCTGCTGACCTGTGGCGCCGTACCCATTGAGGACATCGAGGATAGTACCGATACCGACACCGACGTTCGTACTGTAGCCGCCTTGTTCTCCGCGCTTCTTGCTGTGTCCGCTGTATGGGCCTCCCTTCTTGACGTTAGTGTGGCCTCCAACATTTGTGCCGTACGACGAGGTGCTCTTGACACCCTTGTCAGTCCTCGGCGACTGGACGACGTACGTGTTTGTTGCATCGGATTGCTTGATGAGCGTGACGGCTCCTGCCGAATTGGTCGGGCTGGCGTAAGAAAACGTGCCACCCGTGGCGTCCGGTGATGTGATCGTGCGCAGGTTCACACCAGTCTTGGTGTTTACTGCAGCCTTAACGTAGCTGTTTGGGGAAGCCACATTCAACACTGAGGCCTCGTACAAGTCCGCCGCTGTATCAATGTATCGTGCCGTGCTCTTGCCGCGCTTGGACCCCTGGGTTGAAGGGTGAGGACCCACCACCGTAGCTTGGGTGGTCGCAGCTACCGTCGAGAGCGCAATGACAGTCCGAAAGATGGCCGTGGAGTAAATCATTGTGGTCGAAGGTGAGTCACGAGTCGGGCACGAGCGCGGACGCTGAGCGGGAGTTGTCGCGGTGCGACGGGGTGTTGGCTGTTGAGCTTGCGAAGCGAATTCAAAAATGAATGAACGCTGCATACCGCTAAAGCACCGAGGGCTCCTCGTCCCCCTTCATATTGAAGACGTAACGTCTTATCCAGATCCTCGTTTCCTACACATATTATAGCATCCTCATATCTGGTCCATCGACACCTCCAAGAAAAGCATGTATACATAATACAAATAGACAGCCACCCCACCCTACCTCATAAGGAAGGTTCTGTCTCCATCTGCTCCACCCCCAGCCTCCTTTGACCTTACTATGGATCGTCCCAACGCTCTGGGCACTCGCGCGCGAAGTGGCCGAACTGGCGGCACACGAAGCAGCACCCAGAGTCTCGGCGCGGGCGTTTCCTTGGCTGCTCATGACCGCGACGGAATTCCTGACGCACCGCCGCGCGTGGCCGCTTTCTCTGCTCTGTGAGCAGTGACGGGCCTGCCCCGTCGCTGCGCTGCAGTAGGATTGCCTCCTTGGCAGCGGCGTCGAGATCTTCGGGCTTGGATTCTCGTAGCAGGTGCGCAAGCTGTTCGCAGCCCACGCCGTTGATAAAGGCCACTACGTAGTAGGGCTCCGGAATGACGTAGCTCTCTCCAGCGTGGCGCAGTGCCTTCTTGTACTCCATAAATGTCTCGTGGGGAAGTTTACGTCGCGCCAGCACACGCGCGACAGCGAATGCCGCCAGCAGCTCCTCCTCGTGTCGTCGCTGATCCGTTAGCTCGTTGCAGGCAGAGAAGGACTCGCGCTTGAGCTCGGCCGTAGCCTCACCTGCGGCCTCCTCCGGCCGCGTCGCCTTCATACAATCATGGCGTCCTTCCAGGAGCATGATCGCCCCAAGTCGTTATGTTGAATTTCTCGCTGGGTTTCTATCATCCTAAGAAAAATTCTACAAGATCCAAACCGTGAAACCAAAATACACATTCAAAAGAATTTTTAGGAATGGCAATACAGGATAAGAGGTTGAGTGTAGGATAAGTGAACTTGTATTTCATTCATCACCCTGTATTCTACAGCATACATGTTGCACATGTAAGCTCACCACAGGCTGCGCGCACCCATTGCGCGAGTCAAC